ACTTGGCCGATGATGATCCGATGGAGGGGCAGAAATCAATCTTTTCAGCTGGCCCGCGACTCAAGCCAATCAGACGCCTTGTATCTTTCCCCGCCATCGGAGCTTGTGCCCACTAAATGACCTCACTCGATGCGGGGCGTATGCACGATTGAAAAATGATTTTCTTCTGCCCCTCGACCACAACGAACTCTACTAAATACCTACCGACACCAAACTTCGACTCGAGCCTCCACGATCGCCCTCAGCTGTGTCAATCTGCGCCCCCCATTCTTTCTCGATCATCCCCGCGCCCTCCAAAATACAGGTTAATTCACCTTCGACTAATCCCCCACGCTCGAATACACCAGACCGATAAAGCCAAAATGTCGGCCCCAACCGGGAACCCTTATGCAAGGATCGATGATCTACTCAGCAATGTGCGCAACTTTAAGATCATTGAATGTGAGTTAGCAATACTCTAGAGAGTATAGCTCTAAACTGACCGCAAACAAGCCACCCTCCGTGAAGGAGAGCAGTTCGCCAACTCTCATTATAGCACAGAAACTAAGATCAAGATGTTCATCCTACTTCTTTTACCCTCCTCTTGCTCTTTTACTGATATGTATTCTATAGCGCAACCATGCTTGATCAATTCGGTGTTGACTACCTTGAACTAACGAACCCTTGCTCCTCACCGCAATCGCGAGCCGATCTGGAGACAATCTGCAAGCTGGGCCTCAAGGTATGTATCCAGGAGCTAGCTGTAGATGCTTAGAGTACTGATAGCATGGCAGGCCAAGATCCTGACGCATACAAGGTGCACGATCGGTGTAAGTGACCTAACTACTTTTACATCATTCTCCGCTGACACACGTTTAGGACGCCAAGATTGCAGTAAGCTACCCCCGAGATCGAGCATGACTACTTCCACCGAACGATTCCCCATTTCCACAAAAGCCTATATCAGACCAGTCATTGCATTCTTAAGACATATGAAACGCGGTCCCGTATCCCTCAGAACCGTGGCTCATCCTTTAGCGATAAGATTGCAATGCGACTTGGAAACACAGCGGGAACTACAGCAAGCAATTTTCGGCAGCCCACATCGTCGGGTGGCTCTGTGGAAATGGGGGACCTCCTAATCTTCTCGTCACGTTCCCTTTTATTTTGCTTTCAAATAAGGCCATCCCTCAGTCAAACAACACAGCTAACATGGGTAGTGCGACGCCGGCGTGGACGGTGTTGATGTCGTGATTGGCACGAGCCGTGAGAATACCCATATTTCACCTTAGTTGCTAATAACTAATGAAAACTAGAGTTCCTCCGCGAGCACTCTCTCAATGGCAAGGATATGGTTGCCATCACCAAGCAGGCCCTCGAAGTCATCGAGTATATCAAGAGGTAACCAGCTAGGGTGCCTAACTTGGCAAAGAAAACTCCAGGAAGCTGACGTATTGTTTTTAGCCGTGGCTGCGAAGTTCGCTTCTCGACGGAAGATTCATTCCGGTTCGTAATCACCCTCCTCCCGATACAGGACGTTTCCAAGACCGACCCTCTTCCGCCTCTTGCCTACTTACTGGGCTCCCTTCTCATGGATTTGTGGCTTAGCTACAATCGCCCTGCGCATGCGACTTATACGGTTCCCAGACAGGACCAAGCACCGACAAGTCATGCCCTACCTTTGGCTTAGTTCCAGTCCCGATGGCCTCACTCTTCCTGGGTTAGGCTCGTTAGAGGGTCGGCTTGTAACTAACCTCTAATATTACCATACTGACTCATTTCTCAAGTTCGGACCTAGTCGATCTTCTGTCTATCTACAAGGCTGTGAGCCAGGCTGGAGTAAACCGCGTTGGAATTGCGGACACTGTCGGATGTGCCTCTCCTCGACAAGTTTATGTACGCCTATCGTTTCTTTCTTACTTTCTCCATGGTTTACCTTGCACTCATTGCTAATGCTTGCGAAGGATCTTGTCAGGACTCTCAGGGGTTGTGTCAGCTGCGATATTGTAAGTCATCATCGCTCACCTTCTGCTCTCTGCCCGTGATTCCATTCCGCGGCAGCCTGTATACGAGCTTGCTAACCTCGGGGCTATATTAGGAGGTCCATTTCCATGACGACACCGGCTGTGCCGTAGCGAACGCATTCTCGGCATTGGAAGCCGGAGCAACACGTAAGTAAAGCTTTTCTTTGCTCTCTACTTGAAACCTACACCTGTTTTAATACACAGTACCTGAGATGCAAAGTTCGGCTTGAAATCAAGGACTGCGATGTCAAATAGGACTTCTCGTTAAGAAGGACCACAAAGGCTAACTAATTATTTTAGACGTCGACACCTCCGTTCTTGGAATCGGCGAGAGAAACGGGATTACCCCTCTCGGAGCCTTGATGGCGAGAATGATGCCGAGTTCGAGAGACTATGTGCTGTCCAAGTATAACCTGAAGATGATCAAGTCCATCGAAGATTTTGTCGCCGAGGAAGTTGAGGTCAGTCTAGACTTGTTCTCCTGCCCTTTTCCGACTTAAGACTAACATTTGGACAGATCAACACCCCTTTCAACAACCCTATCACTGGTAAGCTGTCCTATGATTTCTTTCTCCTTATCTGTTCATTCCCCACCCGACATGGACATGTAGATATCCATAAACTGACAATTTCGACAGGTTTCTGCGCCTTCACACACAAGGTACTTTCTAGCAGCTCTAACATGCTATTTATTATATACTCACTGCTATATAGGCCGGTATTCACGCTAAGGCTATCCTTAACTCTCCGTCGACCTACGAAATCCTGAAGCCCGAGGACTTTGGATTAACCCGATGTAAGTTCTAGATATAGCGTGTCTTTGGATCAATAACTAACCATTGTTCAGATGTCCATTTCACGTCCAGACTGACTGGCTGGAATGTGATCAAGAGCAGGATATCACAACTTGGTCTAATTTTAAGTGTTCCCTTATATACAGGTTGATTATTATTTGCTAACTAGAACTACAGATGACAGACGACCAGGTCAAGGAAGTGTAAGACTAGTCTATCCGTATATTGCTTCGGATTCGCTGACAGTGTGACTCTAGTACGGCTAAGATCAAGCAGATGGCCGATATCAGGTAAGTCACATATGGAGACAATAACACTGTCCTTGGCTAATACTTGCAGGCCACTGGCAATCGACGATGCGGACTCAATCATCCGTTCCTTCCATTTGGAGCTAAATAATGGAGAGGGACAGAAGGGACAGAGCGAGCAGAATGGACAGAATGCGCAGAACGGCCACGTGGAAGCATAGCAAGCATGTGTGTGCAAGGAGCATCAAAGGCTGTGTGGATGTGTAAGTAAAGCTTGATATTATGGAGAATGGGTGTGCTGGTGGACTGGAAAACAAAAAGATTCGACAACAAGAGGCCACACGGCCAACAAAGGGCAGCGCCAAAAAATATTTCCGCACAAGAGTATTAAAAGTACGTGGTGTTATGGGAAATTTAACTTGCTTCAAAATTCTAAACTGCAAGAGAATGAAACGAAATTGAGAGGCTCTAGTGCGAGGCGAGACTGAATAGAATACTGATACTTGCAAGTTACTTGTATTCATGTTACCAATTTATCCAGATTCCTGTCCATATCATCCCCAGGGTCCGAGAAGTGTTTGTTTTATAGGTACCTAGGGAAAAGTTACATTCACCCGACCACAGCGGCCAGGCCTCACTCTCAATGCGCGGCGTAGTGTGCATGGGCTGCGATCGCCTCAAGTGTCAAGCCGTCACTTCTTGCGGGCCACAATAAATGGCCGACTGTCATCGCCTTTTGACGCGTGCTTCTCTGTCTCGAGAATCTCAAAGTCTGCATCCCGAAGCAGCTTGGAGAGCTCAGTCTCAGTGAAAATACTGACAGTTGGCCCAACGCCAAAAAATCGTACAACCGGAACCCCCCATCGGAGAAGAAAGTTCATGTCACCTAGGCACGGTGTCTTCGTTATGAGCTGGCCCCCATCCTCAAGGAGGGAGTGTGTCGCCTTCAAAGTGGCGGCCACATCAGAGACCAGGTGCAGATAGTTGAAGCCCAGGATAGTTGTAAATCGCGCTGGCTTTGCCGCGAGCTCCTCGGCCGTCGCAGCGCAGAATGAGAGACTAGGATACTTCGTCTCCTCAGCTGTCTGTTTTTCAATGGCGATCTTGATCATCTCACGAGAAATGTCGGATCCAAGATAGCTCTTGGCGGCATCGGCGAGCTTCAGCGCCGTAGAACCTGTTCCGCAGCCAAGCTCAAGGACCGTATCGGTTGGCTTCAGCAGGCTCCGTGTCTTTTCCAAGGTTCGCTGATAGCCAGCCTCATCAGCGACGGGGGACTTGGCATATGAAGGAGCCTTCTTATCCCAATATTGCTTGTCTCCGTCGGTGGACATTGTGGTGGTTGTAGAGAAGAGACAACTTCAATGCAGCAGAGACTTGCGGAATTCTGATGAGTGGGCAGTCAATTCTTTAAGTGATTTGGTTCTCTCATTCCGCCTACCTTTGTCTCTTCACATTCCAGACACTTTGGCCACGTCGCATTTTCCTATCCCGTATTTAGTCTCAGCCGCTGCCTGTTGAGGTCAGGCGGAAAGCCACCAAACACCACACAGATTCAGCCCACGGATAATCACGGCTCAGCCATCCAATCAAGGCTGTCGCTGCGTCTCCAACCACCTGGTAAGTCATGCAGGTCGCATTGAATGCGAAGCCACCAATGCTGGGCGGGATTTACGATGATCCATCCGCACTTTACTGGTCAAAGCGCGATACCCTCCAATCAGGCCTCGCTAGGAATTGAAGCAATCCAGTTTATGGCCCTGGCGGGACGAGACATATTCTAGCGAAGCTCTCAGCGCATTGACTCAGTGGTCCATGGGCAATATTCCCAGTCCTGTCGTGCTCTTCAGATGAGAGGACAATGCCCTTGCTGTTTGGTGATGGGCACATTGGGTGCCGTTGCTTAGTCCGGGAGCCATCTAGCTCTATCATAACATTGTCGCATTGTCATTATATTATACCTTGCTAATAGATTCCTGGCTCGAATACACATACTGTTCTCCCCACTCAGGTCGTGAACCGACATGCTGCGTCCCCTCCATGAGCGCCTCGAGCTTATCCTCCACCGTGATCCAGCCCTTCTTCTGCGTCGCCACTGCGAACCTAATGGCATCTTTCCACTCCCTCCACCAGTCCTCCTCACTTTTCACCACATACTGCCGTCCCTGAACACCCGGCAACTTTGGACCTGGGAGGAAAGAGTTGGGGAGCAGTAGCTCTTAGACCGTTCTCTCTTGAAGACATTTTGGGAAAGTAACGATCACTTCTCAGTTAAGAATCTTAACTGTTGTATTCCAAGACATTGAGCGTAGAGGAACGTAGACATAGCTTAGTTTTCTGTTCCACTTGATAAGGGAAATCGAATTTGAGACACTTAAGCGTTATACTGCTTATCTATCTTTGAGCCTGCGATTAGTATTGTTAGCTTATTGAGTGTAAATAATAAACATATAAGAGGTAATATACGGAAGATTATTATTATTTACATCGTTTAATACTGCTGAAGTATTCTAGTTATTGTAGATGGTACTAAGTTGCCCTTCAATTTGATGTCTCATTTCTTCTGTGGGTTCTGAGATGGTAAGACGGAGTATCCCCCGGCGTGCTTCCTGTGTTACCGTTAGGATCAAAGCATATATCGGATTTGTACCAAGTAATATTTCACATGACCTGCCCCCCGCTCAGTAGTCTTCTAGATCAACCACGGAGACTTTGGTTGTTAGTCTGTGCGGCTGAGGTATGAGGATTCATAATATCCGGATTACATCGTTGCTATAACTTTCATATTGATGTCACCTAGCCAGCAGAATTTTGACATGACTAACATTTACTTTACGCAACCACTATCCAATTGCCTATATACCTTATATCCATTTTCTCAAGAACTTCGTTGCATAAGATTCCTAGGAGCGTGCGTACTAATTAATAATCGCTAACCTTCAAAGTCAAGCTTTAATACTCACCGATTATTGAATCCAATGTAATATCATGAACAATAGTCTTGATATTCAGCATAATATTATGCCCAGACACATTTATACTGGCTGCTGAAACGCTTGAGTTATGTAAAAGTTTCCGTTGATAGTGAAGCTATTTTTCTCGCGCCGATTCCACAAATTAAACGAAAAATTAACTTTAATGGCTCTGAAGCTCCTTTTCGTTGTGTTAGGTTGTGTTTGATAACGCTGATTATATACCCTGGTGCCCTGTTCTTTTGTGAGTAGTTGAACAGGTATCATGTATTCTACCCCTTCTATGTTCTTATTCCCCCCCTCTCTTCGTTATTGTTTCTTTTAGTAGACATATTCTATCTTCTTAAAATCAATATCGATGATTATATAGATAATGCGATTAGCTAACTGTTGTGTATTGTGGTGATTTCAGGCTACAAGTTGAGAAGATTTAATGGAGCCTACCTCCACGACCAACCATATACTTTTCTCGCATCAGTAGAATTTCTGGTACTCCAAAACCATGGAATACATAAACCCACTTGGGGCAAGGTGATGATGAGCCATTCTGCATGTTCATACCTGAGATATTAGTGGAGAAATGGAATAGTGAAGGAATAGAGGCTCGGGCGACCTTGCCATTTGCTGACACTGATCAGAGAGGCTGTAGCGATACGCAATGCTTTTATCTAACTAGGAAGTTGGCTCGTCGAAAGCTTCCCATTTTACAATTGTTATCTGTTGTGCCATTATTTTCTTTGTTTCTTAATGGCGAAGGTATTGTTTATCCTCCTTAAACCATGTCGGCGAACCCCTACGACAAAAGCATTGAACAGTAGCGTACCTTGTAGGTGCTGTACTTTGGGTAAAAAGAAAAAGCATTAATCAGTCGTAATAATATATTTTAAATTGTTCACAGTTCGCTAATATCCCTCATCAAGCTCAGGGATATTTAAAAATTCATTTCCTCAAGCCTTGACATCTCCAGCATTGGGAGAAAGGCTCGAGGGGCCTTGCCTTTCTTGAAAGCCAAACTAAGGAGTGACCTAGGTCGTGCCAATTAAGCAAGTGACCGCGGGCTACCTTACTTGATTCAGATATCAGAGAGCCCAGCCCCACTTGAAAATGAACACTCCTCCTAGAACCACGAGATTCCCCTACATGTCTCCCGTCATGCACCCCTCGATCGACGTTCCCCGCGGTCGGTTGCCTTGAATCTCTTTTTGGAACATGCCGAGCCCTTTTGGGTGCATTTTAACGAACCACAGCCAGCCAGATTAGCGAATCTGTCCCCTCCATCTCTTATCGCCCATCTCCCGACGGCTAATGATGATAACCGAGCTTTTGCAACCCCGGGACGTCGCTCACATAATTCAAGAAAGGTAAGGAGGCCCGAGATGGTATCTTCCAACCCGATCCCCAACCTGGGATTGTGTCTATATAAGATCTCGTTGCGCGCCAGGTCTACTAGAGGAATCATCAAGCAAACAACCAGACATCGCATATTGTAACTTCTAAAACTCTTCCATCAAGTACTCGTGACTCTTCCACTTCGAATTCTTTGCTATTTCTTTCGCAAATATGGCTGAGAAGGGAACCACTCTCGACATGTCCATGTTCTACGGAACACCGGAGCAGAAGCAAGCCTTTTGTAGGGATCTTCTCCATGTTCTCAAGACCCGTGGCGGTGTCAAGCTGCAAAACCATCCTATTCCTGACAAAGATATCTATGATCTTTTCTCCTGGGTAAGTGTTGATAATTTCAACTGGCCATCTTCACAATTTTTAACACAAACGGCAGACCAGGAAGTTCTTCGAGCTACCTCTGGAGACGAAGATGAAGGCAGAGCATCCTCCCCAGGCCAACCCCAATCGTGGCTATTCTTGTGTTGGTCTAGAGAATGTTGGCGCTATCCGCCGTGATGGGAAGACAACTCGGGACATCAAAGTCAGTGGCTCTGCCTTCTCCATCTGAGGACCTCTATCACCGATTCTCATCACTAACTTGACACAAAGGAAACCGTTGACTTTGGCTCTCCCGCCGATGACCTCGTCGGCAACCGATGGGTTCCTGAGGAGGACCTTCCCGGCTTCCGTGCCTTCATGGAGTACTTCTACGACAAGGCCTTCAAGGCCGAGCTTGACATCTTGACTGCTCTAGCCATTGCCCTTGGCGTCGACGAACAGCACCTCCGATCGATCCACAACCGTGCTGAAAATGAGTTCCGCATCCTGCATTACCCTGCTATCCCTGCCTCTGATCTCAGCGACGGTACCGCAACCCGTATTGGTGAGCACACCGATTTTGGAACTATCACACTCCTCTTCCAGGATGCTGTAGGTGGACTCCAGGTTGAGGACCAGGAGAACCTTGGTACCTTCAGGGACATTGAGTCTGCTTCGCCTACCGATATGATTCTTAACATCGGCGACTCTCTACAGCGATTAACCAACGACACTTTCAGGGCTGCCACCCATCGCGTCACCTACCCCCCCTCCATCAAGGCTGGTGATGAGAGGATTCTCCCCGAGCGTTACTCAGTAGCTTACTTCGCTAAGCCTAACCGCCAAGCTTCCCTACTTCCCCTCAAGGAGTTCATCACTGAGGCTACCCCTTGCCACTATGACGACGTTACAGCTTGGGAGTGGAATAATGCACGTATTGCTGCTCTATTCGGGATGTAAATATATGGAAAATGAAGTACATTAGCGTTTTTTTTCTATTTCAATAGCGCCTTATTATAAAATATATTAATAGAATAACTCTCACTATAACGTATCCCACCAGTATACGATATGAATTAGTACGCGATCTAGTTAAAATGAAAAGAATTCTTAATAATAATAAATGATTAATGAGAGCGTGTGGAGCTTACCTTAGTTAGCCGGGTCTTTGTGCCGCCTGATAGTATAAGTTAAGTTGGCTGCCCGCGGGTGAAAAAAATAACAAGAATTCTTGCCTTTTATTTTATCTTTTTCTTGAAATCGTGAACTTTAACTCATCATTCAAACGGCTAATTTAGCTCATACGAAGACTAGGATAGTCTCATTCAATTAATTAAATGCAGGACGTCCTAACCATACACCAAACACATATTAATTATTTGTGGTTATTAATTTTTAACTATACAACTTGGTTGTAATTCCTCCCTTTGACCGACGCTAATATCGCGACTTTTACCCTCTAGTGGGTACGAAGTGGTGGTGTTGTTGGTTGGAAAACCCCACCGGCACTCATTAAGTAAATAGAACATTTTAGTACCTCCCTACCTACCTATATTTAATTATAATCTCGAGGTTAAGACTTAGTTTATAGCTGGAATTTCCAAATAGTCACGTGAAGTCTCGTTAAAGCGTTTTTGCAGCCGAGGAGCCGGGAGGTTGGTCCTCGTGGATGTTGAAGCCACCGACCCCACTGGACTTGGATGAGAGGCTGCAATTTTCTATCTCTGGGGATCATTTGCTTTTTGGCATTCCCTATCTGAGCGTGATAGCAACGGAGGCCTGTGGATGGTGGTGGCTGCCTGGGGAAGACTATGACTCAGCTGCCGCGGACCAACGAGCGATTGAGCGCAAACGGCCAAATTCCCTCTCTCCAATCAACGCTGCCCCTCCCCCTCCTTGCATCATCTCGCACAACCCCCACCCCACTGGTACTGCCCGTCCCCGATATCGTCAGCAGCCTCTTCCCACTATAACTTGCTGCGCACGACGGTTTACACTCCTTTGACCACGCAAGCGCACCACCCCCCTCCCGGCTCCCATCCTCGCCTCCTACCTCGTCGCTCATCCGCTATGGGCTCCTCTGCCTCCGTTTCGCCCAGCCCCCCTGCGCAGTCGACGAGCGCGCGGACAAACCCGCTGGAGACTGTCAGGGACTACTCATTTCCTACCCAGAACCTGCGGCGCCATCTGACGCATGCCAAAACCCCTCTGGTTCTGGTAGCCTGTGGAAGTTTCTCTCCCATCACGACGCTACACCTGCAGCTCTTTGAGTTGAGCGCCCGTTATGTCGAGAGCACAGATTTCGAAGTTGTTGGCAAGTACATTAGCCCATGCAGTGACGGTTATGGCAAAAGCTCCCTTGTCCCTGCCCAGCATCGCATCAACATGTAGGTCCAGCCAAGAATACAATGCAACCCTCATGTGTAAAGGAGTCTTTGGCCAGCTGTGCTGACAACCTTGGGCTATTTTTAGGTGTACCTTGGCTATTGAAGAGAGAAAGAGCGATGTTATGATCGACGAATGGGAAGCACTGCGAACCGACGACTCAGGGCGGCCGATGTATACACC